CTATTTCTCCAAACATTTTCTTCTTCCTTTCTTTCTTCTCCTTTTCTCTCTTCTCTACTTCCTCATATTTCAATCGGATTTATTGCCAAGAGTTGTTGTTGTTTTGTTAATGACTTATCTCCCCCCTGTGGTAAGCTTGACCCTTGTGCCATTCCATGTGTCTTCTTGGGTTATCCTTCTTTTCAAAAGGGTTATCAGTGTTTTGATCCTATCTCCAAGAAATACTCTCTCTCTATGGATGTATCCTTCTTTGAAAGTGACCTTATTCCCTATTTCTCCTTAGGGGGAGAGTAGGGTTGAGGAGAAACACATACAAGTTCAACCTCCTCCTCTTTCTAATCCTCCATTCTATGATATCCTTCGTTGCCAAAAGAGCCAATTGGATTCGAAAGCAATAGAGCAACTTGAAGCCACACCACTAACATCTTCAGAATGGATATAAGTGTGGGCCAATTGATTCTCCTATCAATCCTAAATACAAGTTGGGTGATTGTGACGATGAAACAATTAAGGATGTGAAACAGTTCCAAAGACTTGTGGGGAGGCTTCTGTATTTGTCTATGACTAGGCCTAACATTGCATATGCTATAGGTGTCCTTAGCCAATTCATGTATGCTCCTAAGGCTACCCACATGGAGGCCACTGAGAGGATTCTCAGGTATGTGAAGAAGCATGCAATGGATGGTTTATTATTCTAGAAGCATGGGCCTTTAAAGGTGGAAGTGTATACAGATGTTGATTAGGTTGGATCTATAGATGATAGGAAATTTACCAGAGCTATGTCCCATAGTGTTGCTGAAATGTCATTGTATTGTGACAATAAGGAATCTATCAATATTGCTGCCAATCTAGTTCTTCATGATAGGACAAGCATATGGAAGTGGACAAACATTTTATCACAGAGAAGATTGTGACCGGCAAAGTATGCACCCCTTATGTTAGTTCTAAAGAGAAAATTGCAGATATCTTCACAAAGGACCATCACCTAGGGCGCAATGACTTAATGTGACATGACAAGTAGGACGTGATTGATATCTAAATCCCAACTTGAGGGGGAGTGTTAACAGTAGTTGTACTTAGGCCATAGGGCATTTTTGTCTTTGTACTTTTACTTGTATTATTAGTTGGGTTGCCCTAACATAAATAGAAGAGCTAGCATTGCCAATGTAACTTTGTGACTCCAAATCTATCTTTCTCTCTAATACTTCCTACTAAGAAAACATTTCCCAAGTCTTGTCCAGGATTTGTCACCATCTCATGGTAAACTTGGCCCACATTCAATTCCTTGTGTTTTTCTTGGTTATCCCTCAGCACAAAAGGGATATAAGTGTTATAATCCATTTCTCGGCGTACATTCATTTCTATGGATGTGTCCTTTGTTGAGAAGAAAAATACTCAAGATGAGAAGCATGTTTGTGTTCCTTTTGTTCCCGTTCAATTTGTTATTGCTTCTAACTCCATCTATTACCTCTCATTGTTCTCCTGTTTGTGCCCCCTATTCAACATGTTTACTCCATGACCTGCATCTCCTAAACCAATGGGCTCTTAGGAGGCAAACATAAAGAGTAGTGTGTGTCCTGTTGAACCAAGTACACTTTCCTTGTGTGACCCTAAGTGTGATCTTGAACTCCCTATTGTTGTGCGAAAAGGTACTCGTTCATGCACTAAGCACCTTATTAGCCATTTCACCACTTGTAGCAACTTGTCTCCTTGTCGTCCCTTTTTTTGCAATATCCAATGTTTTTGTCCCCATGTTTGTTGTAGAGGCCCTAAACTCTCTTGAGTGGAAGAAAATTATGCTAGAGGAAATTGATACTCATTGTAAGAATTGCATGCGGAATTTGGCTAACCTTCATTAAGGGAAAAAACCTATGGGGTGCAAGTGAATTTTGCAATTAAGAATAATGTTGATGTTTTAATAGAAAGGTATAAAGCCAAGTTAGTGGCCAAGGGCTTCTCCTATACATATGGTGTTGATTACATAAAGATGTTAGCTTCAATTACTAACATGAACTCTATCCATGTTCTTCTCTCCCTTGCTCAGATATTTGACTAGTAGTTACATCCAATTGGATGTTAAGCATGACTTCCTGAATGGTTATCTTGAGGAGGAAGTGTACATGGTTCAACCTTTGGGTTTTTCTTCAAAGGAAACAAAAGTAAAAGTGTGTCATCATAGGAAGTCATTGTATGGCCTAAAACAATCTCCCAAGACTTGATTTGGCAAACTCAATAATACAATCAAGCAAGATGGCTTTAGACAGCCAGAGTGACAATACCATCTTTCTTACAAGGAACTAGGACTCAAAGATACAGAACTAAAGAAGTTTTTGGGAGCTCAGTTCGAAGTTAAAGATCTAGGCCCTTAAAGTATTTCCTTGGGATTGAAGTTGCAATGTCAAACAAGGGCATCTTTATTTCCTAGAGGAAGTACATCCTAGATGGCTAGATCTCCTATAGGACATCGGTAAACTTTGTGTTAATCTAGTAAATACTCCAATTGATGTTAATGGGGTGGCTGAAATGTTGTGGTTGAAGAATATGCTGATGGAGATGGGAGTGGAAGTTCAGCATCCAATGTCATTGTATTGTGACAATAAGGCAACAATTAATATAGCCCACAATCTTGTGATGCATGAGAGAACAAAGAATATCGAAGTAGACAAGCACTTCATTCATGAGAAGATCAAAGTGGGTGACGTTTGCATTCTGTATGCTAACTATATTTATCAATTAGGTGATATTTTCACCAAGGGTGTCGCAAGTACCCATCATGTTGGCATTTGTACCAAGTTGGGAATGATAGATATATAGAGCCCAACTTGAGGGGTACTTAATGTCATTTTTCACACCTTTTAAACACCCTAATATGTAAGTCAATCTAGGGAAGAGAACTGAGAATCAATCTCTGTTGGCCTATAAATCAATGAACTGTTTGGCTAATGCCATGGCCAAAGAAGAGGTAAATTAAGTCCAATTGTTTTGGGGTAAATTTATTGAGCAAATAATTTAAATAGAGAAAGATTAGGGAAACTTGGCATGTTTGTATAAAATTAAAAAAAAAATGGAGCCTGGGCTAAAAATACATATACTCATTAAAGATCTTTGTCTTGGAAAATAAAAACATATTGACTTATTAAGGTTTGAGTCTAGACTAGATTCAACTAGGTATCAAGAAACAACATGTTATTCGAATGTTATTATTTCTCATTCTCTGTATAGGAAATTCTACATTTGGTGAGCAGGAATAAAAATACAATTTGTTGAGAAGACATGCAAAGACTGTCTTAATAGCATATAGATGTAGAGATCCATAAAAAAAATAGCATATAGATATATCAGGTATAATATTTGTTCTAGGAATTTAGTCAGGCTACTTTGGCTTCACTGTGGAAAGCAATCTCAGGGATCCTCCCCCAGTTCCTTCGATATATCAGGTATGATGTTTGTTCTGGGAATTAGTCAGGTTTTGGGAAGATATTTGGGTGGATAATTCAGCCCTTGAGGAGTTATTTCCTTCTCTCTATTCAGTTCCCCTGACGAAGAATGAGATTGTAGCCAGGTGTCTCTCTTCTCCTATCACCCTTGACACTTTGAATTGGGACTTAGTTTAGAAGAGGGATAAGGGAGGAAGAATTGACTTGTGTGACAGACCTTTTGCCTCTCTTGGCTAATGTTTGTCTGAACTCCATTAAGTCAGATGAAAGGATTTGCCCCCTTCGCCTAAAGGTTCCTTTTCAGTTGCTTCCTTTTTCAAAATCTTTTGCATGTCCCCTGTCTCCTCCCTTTCCTATTAAGGAAGTTTGGACTAAGCCTATCCCCTCATAAGTCTCTATATCTTGTTGGGAAATGTTCATTGGGAAGGTTAGTACTTTGGACATGGTGCAGAAGAAAAGGCCTTATTTGTAGTTGTCCCCAAATTGGTGTTCTCTTTGCAAATCCAATGGTGAGGATTGTTTTCACTTGTTTTTATCTTGCCCTATTGCTACAACTATCTGGTTGTGGATTTTTGCCCTTTTAGGTTGCAGGTGGTTGCTGCAAGCAAAAGTCTGTCAGCTGTTTGAACCCTCAGTGCTTAGTAGGCAATCCAAAAGAGGAAAACTGGTGTGGAGGTGCATTAGAGCAGCTTCCTTATAGACTATTTGGGACGAGAGGAACACTAGAATCTTCCACAATAAGAAGAGAAGTCTTTCTGAATTGAAGGACTGCATAATGATAAGGGCAATACACTGGTTAAGAACAAACCTGACCCAACTCTTTTCCTTTGATAACTTCTGGAGGAACTGATCAACAGTGGCTAGCAATTCATCCTCAAAACAGAGTTATGTTGCAGATTGAATCCCTCCTGCTGAGGATTTTGTTACACTAAACTTTGACAGGGGCAGCCAAGGTAACCTTGGTCCCTTTGGCATAGGAGTCTTGAGAGATAAGGACAGAAATGTTTTAGCTTTATTCTCAAGCCCAGTTGGCTTAGGAGACTCTACCAAAGCTGAGCTACTACTGCTGTATAGGGGACTCAGCTAGCCAGTCAACTTGGTATAGGAAGGCTAATAATTGAAGGTGATTCCCAGGTCGTTGTGGGATGATGGTTACTGGATCCGGATTCGACTGTCTGGGGATTAAGAGACCTCCTTAAGAATATGACAGTGAAGATCCAATGGGTAAGAAGATCAGTTAATGAGATGGCTGATACTCTTGGAAAACAAGGGGTTAACAGGGATTCTCTGTTCTGGGCAGCTTTGTAATTGTTTAATCTCTCTTTTAGTGAGTTTTGTACTTTTCTTGTAATTGCGATTGTCTTAAGAGTGTGGCTGCACCTCAAGCCTCTCTCTGGGCTTATTTGTAACAGTTCTACCTTTATTAATGAATTTATTTTCAATTATCAAAAAAAAGAAAGCATATAGATACAGAGAATCACCACTAATTTGAACTTTCTTGGAATAAAAGAAAACAATACCAGATAGCAAATATACAGAGTAAGAGACCAGAAGGAACCATACTTTTGTTTTAATTTGCTCAGGAAGAATGTGGCAAATGGTATATCAACAAGAATCCCTTCAAACATTGCCTGCAAGATAAAATAGAACATAAACATGATATTCCACCAAAAAGCAATATAGATGTATTTGTTTTGGTTTTGATAACCAAGGATAATAAAGCAAGCAATATAAACAAAATTTGAATTTATGCTGATGAACAATGTCATCAACTTAGAATAACCTTTTGAAATGGAGGGTTAATGAATAAAAAGCATAATTAACTGTTCCATAAAAGGTTAATAATAGAAAGTTCATAAACTAAATCTGGTAATTAATTGTGTCATTTAACAGCAGACTCTGTTGGCCTAGCACCCAACAACCCTGTCTTGTTAAGCAAATCAAGCACATATTTCTTTTGAGACAAATTAATGCCATTACTGAATATCCCCACCTCAATGCTTAGAGTATAACTTAGAGACTGTTCAGCAACGTTCCGCAGGAGTGTTTCTCTCATTCCTGGTGCTCCCGTGGAACAGAAACATGTTAGAGAAAAAATGCGAGAAGCAAGTCATTCCTGAGTGAGAACACCCGCCCAAAAAACATGTTCTTTGGGAGTGAGAAATCAACACTCCCGGAGAACACATTCTCAAGGAACGCGCGATTCCCACATTGTCCCAGTTTATTTACGAACACATATTCGCCTTCCCACATGAGAGAAGGGGCAACGTCGTCATTTCGCATTGATGACATAAACTCTCCACCCCTCCAAGCCCTAACCCTCGAGCAATCTTCTTCATTTGTTCCCGGTGATCCCGCTACAAACCCACTGCGCATCAAGGACCAACGGTGAACAACCAGTTTATCATCTCCGATGACCATTTTCTAGTTAGAATCTCATACACAGGTAAGGTTTTCTTCGTTGTTAGCGTTTCTAACTTTGTATTCTCTGTTTTTTTGTCCTAAAACTTTATCCATGCTCTGTTTTTTCTTCCTAAATGCATCACCTCCTTTGTTGTTATCTTCACGAACTCAAGCTACTATATGCTGATTTGGTGAAACATCTCCTACTACTACACAGATCTTGTCTCAGGAAGTAGGTAACTTCAATGTGAGGATCATGATTGGAGTGCTGATTTAGATCCCCAGGCCTCCAGCC